GTTACCGATTTAAGCGGCTATTTATAATGTAGGGGGCGGGACGCTTCAGATTCTAGAGAGCATTTGATTGGACAGAAAATATGATGAGAAGCTGAAGTGCAAACTTAATGATGTCATCAAAATCTCAATCAAGAAGAGAGAGACTAAGTTTTGAATGCTTATATCTTCTAAATGTGAGTTGTGTTATTGTTTTGGAGCACACTAGCTTATAGATAACAGTAAGGCTAACATATTCATACTAAAAGTCAAAACACTGACATATGGGGTTCGCTCTTGGGAGCCCCAATCACCTCTGGGAATATCAGATAAGGCCCATGAAATTGGCATAGAAAATTTGCATGCCAGGCCACGCCCCGTACATACGGGTATATAAACTGGCAGGCGTGCAAGTGTACTCCAGTTTTGTTCTGAGGAGCCGAGGTAGCGTCTTGGACACTTCAGCGGTCAGTACAGAGTTGTGGCATGAGGGACACATCATTGTTCCCTCCATCAGGGAACGAGGGTTACCATACGTAACCGAGACGTTACCTTTCCGTCGGTCACTTTGACGTGTGTCGAAACCGACATATGGGTTCCCTATACTAAACGCCACAACAACTGTACCGTGTCACGAAATAATGCAGTGCAAGTGCAGCAACGCTCACTCGTAACCTTCCAACACCCAGGGTAAATTATCTCCGACAAGGACTGCTATTCACCTTTCAAAGAGGCCACGCACCTGAGGGGCCTCTTCTGATTCTTTTAACACTAGAACGGCCACGGCGGTCATTTTGAATTTATATCTGCAATAACTTTGTTGAAAAAATAAATAAAATCCTGCTGGTACCTGACTTTTCCTAAAAGTGTCTGTATTTTCATTTAAAATGTTGTTTTTAATATAAATTACACACAAGGCAAAAAAACAAATGAACATTTACCTATTTCGGCCATAGACGGTCATATTGACCGCACTGAATTTCGCGGTATTCTTTTGTTACATTTCTCACGGTCGACCTTTGTCTATTAGGAAATAATCAGAAGATTCAATTGCAAAATGACAGATATGTTTATTGAGAGCTGGTCAGATGCTGGGAGAGTTAAGGTGTGTAAAAGTCCGGTATGAAGCCCTTGGCAGCACAGGGACGCTGCGTGTAGAACCATGGAGTGCTGAACACGGGATAACACACGGAAAACGGATACAGGCAGGGAACAAACACGCAGGAAAAATCCACAACAATCTGACAAAGACTAGGCGACAACAGTAACACTAAAAAGGGTTGAATGCTGATCAGTTGCAGCTGGCGCGTTGATCAGAGCGGGCGTGCTGATCAGCTGCAATGATCAGCGACCACGCACACGCACACACACACACACAACAAGACGAATTCATAAACCGTGACATTGTCTCTCTCACTGTCAAAAGAATATCTAAATAAGATACTTTGTTGTTATTATCTTGTTCTGAGTTATGTTGAATGGATATGGAAATATAGCTATCTGTTGTGATTATGCGATAATTACGGGCTTCTGATATTATTATTTATAAATGTATAATTAAACTTTTTTAAATGTACAGTTTGGTGTGGTTTTGTTTTTAAAAGATATCCTAATACAATAAATGCATTAATCTCTCAATTGGGTATTTATCATTAAAGATATAGAGATTGCAATCTAACGGTCAAAATGACCGCTTGTGGCAGTTCTAGTAGTTATGGAATTCTGGCACTTCTAGTGTTAAGGCAACAACCAGGTGTAACACCTGTGTACACCTGGTTGTTAACGTTGGGAAGCGTTCTCTTCCCAAGAGGGACAGGAACGCTATGGAGACCACATCCTACCTTAAGAGGAGGAACCCATGTGGAAAATACATCCTAAGGACTCCCCAGTGGGGAGTACTACATAGAGAAGTTTCTGTGGTGGGCTCCACCATAGGGGAGGCTACCTATCCCACAGTGACCGGAGACAGAGCTCGCTCTGTCGAGGGGAAGACACTAGGTTCGCCGACAGGGAAACTGCATCGTATGGGGTGCCCATTAGGGCCACCACTACATACGGAGCACCAGCCAGATTTCAAGGGCTCACCTGAAAAAGGGCAGCTCACGAGTAATGGGCCTGGAAGTGAGTTCCTCTGCTGAACTCAAACTCAACTTCTGCAAGGGTGCTAGAATGATGGATAGAGGCGGCCTTGTGTTCACCATTCCTGGGGAACTGAACTAGACCTAAGAGCGCACCTTATCACCTCGGAGAGGGGAAAGGCACTAATGCAAGCACTACACCCAGCCAATTCGTAGAGACTTACCTGGTATCACCAAAAACTCAAGACGAAACTGGCTCCATTCTGAGATTTTAGAATCTCGCTTAGGTGTTGGGTGTAGCCCAGCCTGCAGCTCTGCATAAGTCTGCTAGCGAAGCACTGTGTGCCAAGGCCAAAGTGGCAGCGACACCTTGAGTGGAGTGAGCTCTCACTCCCAGCTTGGTTACCCTCATCAGGAGGGAATGCTTGCAGGATCAACACTTGGTCCCTGAAGGGAGTTGTGGGAACTTTGGTCGCATATCCAGGCCGGGGTCTCAGGATAACGTGAGAGTAGGCCGGCACTATTCACTAACTGAAAGGGCTTGTAGGTCCCCCACCCTCTTGAGAGATGTGACCACAATCAGGAGGGCCATCTTTATAGAGAGGGCAGTAAGCTCCACTGATTAGATTGCAAGGGCTCAAAAACAAATCTTTTTGTAGGGCCTGCAAGACCAGAGAAAGATCCCAAAAGGGGATGACGCGCGGTCTCGGGGGATTCAACCTCTTATTGCCTCTCAGGAACCTAACTTTCAGGTTGTGCTTTCCTAAAGCCCTGCCATCCACAGTATCATGGTAAGCTGCTATTTCAGCCACATACACTTTCAAAGTGGAGGCAGAAAGGTGCCTCTCGAGGCCCTGCTGTAGGAGGAAAGCACTGAACTGAGGCCTTATAGAGGTGAGGACCACCACGTAGTAAAAATGCGCCACTTCAGGGCGTATAGCTGCCTATTAGTGGGGGCTCTAGCCTGAGAAATGGTATCTATCTCCGCTGGTGATAGTCCCCAGAGTTCCTCGCCCCATCCAGAGACTAAATGTGGAGATTCCAGAGATCTGGGCTTGGGTACCAGATTGTGGTTGGGCCAACAAGGGGCAACTATTAGAACTTATTCCTCATCCTCCCTGACCTTGCATAGTGTCTGTGCGATGAGGCTCACTGGGGGAAACGCATACTTGCGCAGGCCCCGGGGCCAGCTGTGCGCTAGTACATCCGTGCCGAGGGGGCCTTGGTCAGGGAATACCACAGAGCGTAATGGGAGGATTTCTGGGAGGTAAACAGGTCCACCTGTGCCTCGCCGAATTGACTCCATGTCAGCTGGACCGTCTGGGGATGGAGTCTCCATTTTCCACAGCGTGACCTGTTGCGAGAGTGCATCAGCTGCGAGAATGAGGTTGCCCGGAATGATGAACCCTCAGGGCCAATAGCACAGCCAGCAACTCTAGGCAGTTGATGTGCCAATGCAGATGTGGTCCTGTCCAGGAGCCCAAAACTGCATGCCCGTTGTACACAGCACCCCAGCCTGTCTTGGAGGTGTCTGTTGTGACAACTACATGCCTGGACACTCAACCCAGTCAGGCTAGGTGCCGAAGGACCTGGTCCCCGTGTTCGCAGTCCAACTCCTGTGACTGAGATCACCGTAAAGGCCTCCGCGACCTTTGTGAAGATGAGGAGACAGGGACAGCCCAAAAGGGAGGACCTTGCAAAGAGAGCAAAGCCCTCAACAGTATCGCCGAAGAGGCCGCCTTGGGAGACTGGGGCATCAAGAAAGTGAGCCTTCTCAATGTCCTTCACCTCCGCAAGGTTAAGCCACAGGTGGACCACCAAGGTGGACATCGCCCGACCCAGGGCCTGCGCCGTAACCTTCGTAGCTCGGAGAGCATAGTCGGCTGTAGGCATAGTCCAAACTCTTGAGTCGGAACTAGCCTCAGCCAGATCTTTCAACGCTTTGGCTTGATATACTTGCAAGATAGCCATTAGCGTGGAGGGGGGAGGTGGCCTGGCCAGCAGCAGTGTAAGCCCACGCCATCAGAGATTAGGTAAACTTACACACCTTGGACGGAAGGGCGGTGGAACATACTCAAGGCCAATGCTCGTGGCAGCCCGGGCAAGCATGGCAGGCAACTCAGCACCAGACTCAGACTGAGGCAACACACCGGAAAGAGGAAGCCCAGCTGACACTTCAGCGTCTGAAAGCATAAGCCTGCCCTCCGATGCTGCGATCGACAACTCGTCATCTCTGCGAGCCCCGAATGAGATGACGCATACACCCTGTGACGCAACATCATGTGATGCAACTTAGAGTAATGCAGCGTCAAACTCATCAAGAAACTGTAACTGGCGAAAGCACTGCCATTGAAACCATAGACAGTAGAAAATGCTTATGGCAAAATCGGTTTGATTTTTTTTTTTTTAATCAACATTTGTCATTTTTTTTACAGTAGCCATTTAAACAAGCAAATATATATACTGTTTCCATGCAATATGAACTCCTTGTGTAATGGGTAATTGAAAGAACATCTTTGCTGGGTCTTGAAATCAGGAATTGATTTCAAATTACCATTCTCTTTGTTTGCTTGTTTTCTATCATCAGGTGCATCTCTTTTCAAATAGGTCAGGATCCCATTTTCATGTTTCCATTTGATCAAAATTACCGAAAATTAAAGGCTCGTTTCAGGAACTATTTATTGTTGTACTGGGTAAGCCCACTTTATAAAGATAAGGCACCTACTTCACTACCTCTAAATTAATATCTAAGTTCCATAACTAAAAGGCACATTTTTTCAATGCTGACTCACTATTCTAGTCTGATCATAATCCCTCTTTGTATGGACTCAAGGGAGGACCTGTAATTAAACTAATCATTAGCGCCACCCAATGGTGAGAAACAGACTGTGACTGTCAAAGAATATTTGATAGAGAGGGAAAAAAAAAAGACAGGAACAAAATTCATCAGAATAAAACTGTTTAATTTGCCATTACATTTACAAAACAATATCTTTCACATTCGAATGCAATGATCCTATTTTTAAGACCTAGGATTTATTTACTGTAATTTGATTTTTACATGTAAACAAAAAGGCAGTAAGATACAAAGCATCACTAATGCAGAGACAGTGATGAATTATTGGCTTGGTTTGAAGGGTTTTGATTACCATAAATCATGTTGATCATAACATCGGCGTAGTTTCTGTTTTTCCATCTGCAGTAACGAGCTGCATCAGAGTACCTGAAGGGGGTCTGTTCTCTCCTGTAGTCCACTTATAGAACAGCCTAGAATGTAGAAAATGCATCATGGCTTTATCCACACACACACACGCACGCAGCCACGCACACACACACCTAAAAATACAGATGCTCCCAAGTATACAATACATACTTACTCCGTTATGTACTCTAGAGATGTCCAGGAACTGACATCACCATCTGGCATGAACTTTCTATTCATGGGTGTATCCAAAGTCACTCTAAAAGGAGTAATTAATAGTCGCCTTTAAAAACAGAAATTTGCACGGATGTAAATTAGTTACTTGGCATTTTGTTGTTCCTTACGGGAGAATTGCTACTGCAGAAGATCCTGGAGGAAGACCACTATTTGGCCCGCTCAGACTTTGGCACAACTGATGTACTGCTGCCTTAGCCATACCATAACCAATGCATCCTACAATGACAATGAGATAGAATTGTACTAACACTGCTATATACACATGCAAAATTTGGGAAAAATTGGGACAAGAAAAAAGTTGGGAAAGAAAAGTTGGGACATTTTGTAAAATGTAATAAAATCAAGATTCTGTGATTTGTTAAAGGTGCTCTAAGCGATGTCATGTGTTTTTTAGGCCAAAACATTTTTTGTCACATACAGCAAACATCTCCTCACTATCCGCTGGCTGCCTGTCCCCTGAACACACTGTAAAGAAACGCGATCTCTGTAGACAGCCCATGCTTCACAAACAGCACCAAAAACAAACTGCAGCGACCCGCTCCCCAAAACATAACAAACTGTTCCAGCCAATGACCGACAAGAAGGGTTTGGGGGTGTGGTTTGGGGGGTTAGTGTGCGGATGAGGAGGAGGGAGGGTCTAGCTAGCCTCCGTTTTGTTTGACAATAGTTCGAACGTCAACAAGAAGTGACGTCACCCAGGATCGCTTAGAGAACCTTTAATTCTCTTTAACCTTAATATAACTGACAAAAGTAAAAAGAACACATTTCCAATGTTTTCACTGGCCAAATTAATTGTATTTTGTAAATGTAAACACATTTTGATTTTGATGGCTGCAACACACTCCAAAAAAAGTTGGGACAGAGACAAAGTAAAAATAAAAAGAGTATAGAAAATCCAAGTCAAACTGTTTTTAAATAGTCCACAATTAGTAGGTGAACTGGCAATAGCTAAGGGCATCGTGTTTGGGCATAAAAGCAGCAGCATCCACCAAAGACTCGGTCTTTGCAAGCAAAGATGGATCATGGCTCACCACTTTGTGCCAAATTTCAGAGAGAATTGTCAAACAATTCAAAAATCAAATGTAAAAATCTCAATACAAGATTGCTAAGTATTTAGGTCTTTCACCAACTACCATACATAATATTGTGAAAAAATGTAGGGAATACAGAGAAATCTCAGTACATGTAGGGCAAGGCAGGAGACCTCTGTCGAGAAACCGTCATGCTACTTTATTAAATATAGCCACATGGGCTCTGGAGTACTTTGGAAAACCATTGTCACTTAACACAGTCTGACGCTGCATCAAGAAATGCAACTTTAAACTCTGTTACGCATGGAGAAAGCTTTACATTTGTTCAATGCATCTCAGATGGTCTAAAACAGGGGTCTCAAACTCAACTTAACTGGGGGTCGCTGGAGGTAGAGTCTGGGTCAGGCTGGGCCGCATCAAGTATTCCACAAAAAAATAGTATTCAAGTATTCAAAAAAGGAGCACAACTGATCCAATCTTCTCAATCTTTATTATTAACGTTTCTTCTGAACTGTTCCTCTGAATTTGAACATTCATTTCTGTACATGATTGGTTCTTCATGAGCTGTCCTTCTGACAGTTGAAGTTCATTTTACAAACTTTCCTTTTCTTTTCCTTATAACACATCTTTGTGATACTTATATTTGCTCATGTCCTTTTTATTTTCTTTATACAACACAATATGATATTGAATGTTTTTTTGGATTTCCTTTTATAATACTTAGAAAAACAATTATTGCTTTTGAAATACAAATATTTGCAGTCATGTCTGCCCGTCTTATTGAATTCTTTCTACACATGTAGCCTATAGTGTCTCAGGCAAATTACTGACTGCACAAATCAAAGCAAACCTTCTTATAAACCTGTTGGACACATATTACAAGCTCAAAATGATTATTCTCACATTGTTTTAGAGCAGGGGTCTCCAACACGTCGGTCGTGAGCTATCAGTAGCTCGTGGCCTGATTGGTGGTAGCTCGCCAAGGGGCCGTTCACATATCGCGCTCACATATTTTGCGCGCTCAAGTTCGTTATTTCAAATGTAGGCGCGGCAAGCGCGCTCATAATTGAAGCGACGCGCTCATTTTTTCCAGGCGCTGTATGTTTGTACTTCGCGGTTGTCTATGACAACTATTGACAACAAACCTGTGCAACAAACCCACCATAAGCTGTCACGAGACTATCTATGGTAGCCCATAAAAAAAAAAAAAGAAATAAAAAAAAACGCGGCACACGCAACGACGGGCCGCACTAATATTAAACTTTAATGTCAAGTAGGGGCCGGGGGCCACAAAATATCACCCCGCGGGCCGCGAGTTTGAGACCCCTGGTCTAAAAGAAATGTGTGTTGTGGTCAGATGAATACATGTTTCAGCTTGTTCTCAGTCCCAAAGACAAAAAGGATCATCCAGACTTGCATCAGTGACCGTTGCAAAAGCAAACATCTGTCATGGTATGGGGGTGCATCAGTGCAAACGGTATGGGTGACTTGCATACTGTATGTGTGAAGGTATCATTGACGTGGAGGTGTATATTGGGATTGTACAGAGACATATACTGCCATCAAGATGACATCTTTCCTGGGAAGCTAGCTAGACAATGGCAGGCCTCATTCTGCAAATGCTAATTTCTTGACACTCTACAGTACAGTGGATGTGCCTGCAGTCCAGATCTGTCTCTTATTGAACATGTACGGCCTATCATGAAAAGGAGAATCAGACAACAATGACCACAGAGTGTTGAGCAGATGTCTCGTATTAGCCGAAATTGGGCAAAGATTCCACTTGCAAAACTTCAACAATTATTATCCCCAATTCCCAAACACTTAAGTGTAACTAAAAGGAAAGGTGATGTGACAGTGGTAAACATGCCTCTGTCCCAACTTTTTTGGAGTGTGTTGCAGCCATTAAAATAATATAAATATATATTTACAAAATACAATTAAGTTGGTCAGTGAAAACTTTGAAAATATTTTCTTTGTACCTTTGTCAGTTAAATAAAGGTTCAAGAGAATTAACAAATGACAGATTCTTGATTTTATTGCATTTTACAAAATATCATGGTAGGCTACACATGGAGATCTGATCCAAGTTCTGAGTCCATCTGGGATTACATGAAGAAAAAGAAAACACTAAGACAAACTAAATCCAGAAGAGTCTCAAAGACACTTGAAGAAACCTACCTGCAAAGCTTCCTGAAAAACTATGTGCAAGTGTACCTGGACAAAAGCTGTTTTAGACGCAAAGGGTGGACACACCAAATATTGATTTTATTTAGTTAATAGAAGTTATTATTTTTGAAAGCATCCTCACTTTACAGGATTTTTACACAAGTGTCTAAAACTTTTCACAGTACCGTAGCTTTGCAGGTATGGGTTTCTTCAAGCGTCTTGGAGACGTTGCCACAGTTCTTCAGTATTTAGTCTGTCTCAGTTGTTTCTTCATGTAATCCCAGATGGACTCGATGATGTGAGATCAGATCTCTGTCTGGATCATACCGGCTGTTGTCAGACTCCTTGTGCATACAAAAATCTCACTAGATTATTACAAATAATGGCAAATGGAATGTTCGGAAATGTAAACTGATATTTCCTACTGACACACTGCAGCAAAAGATGTCGGAGATAAAAATGTATGACACTGGTCATGAGAACAGTATATATATATATATATATATATATATATATATATATATATATATATATATAAAACTAATTTAAGATAATATAAAGGTCAGGGAGTAAATACAAGCATACATACCTGCTGTTGGACCCAATGCTGCTTTAGCCCCCGCCAGTGTGAGCAACCCCCCCTCTCTCAGGTGTTTGGTTGCTAGGTGACTGCAAATTGTGGAGGTCCACACACTCTGCTTCCACATCAGATCAGCATTCTTATACAGAGCTGAGGCATATAGAATACATTCATATGAAGTATAAACTGATATAATTAATGATATACCTGAAAATGTTCACTTCTAGGAAAGAATTAGATTTAAGAGAGTAGCGCCCCCTTGTGACAATACTGAGAATGCAATACATTTCAGAAAGCAATAAAAAAAAGATTAATTTTGCATAGCAGCTAGAATGTCTATTTAATGTTTGTGTTAAATCAAAAAGTCTGAAAACCTCTGCTATAGATTTTGTGTGGCCTCTGTGTGTACATGTACTAATAAGTATGTACTAACTTTTGGCCTTGGCGCTGCCCCCTGCCCAACCTCCGGCCACACACAGGATGGCATCAACTTTATCTTCACCTAACAGCTCACCGACATCAGCTGTCACCTAACAAAAACAAAAAAGAAAGACAGATGTAACATGTTTGATTATAACACACAACATTACAAATCAAAAGTATGTTGATCTTTGAATACAGACAGGCATATATAGGGGCCTGCAAAAGTATTCAAACGTCACATTTTTACAAAAATTTGTTATGTTGATGCGTTATGTTAAACTACATATTTTTTCACATTAATCTACACTTCACACACCATAATGACAAAGCAAAAACATTGTTTAATAACTGCAACTTTATTTAAAAAAAAAAAAAAAATTAATTAGCAATTAAAAATATTTAAATTGCATAAGTATCCATACCCTTTTCTGGGACACTTGAAATTTAGCTCAGAAGCATTCCAATTTCGCTTGTAGAGGTTACTACTCTGCGAGTGGTGTTAACCTGTGGCAAATTCAACTGAATTCAATTAAACTGAAAGGCACACATCTCTCAATAAAAGGTCTATAAGCTGAAAATGCATATCAGAGCAAAAAATAAAAAATAAAAAACCGAGCCATGAGGTCAAAGGAACTGCCTGTAGAGCTCAGAGACAGGATTAATGCATTGATGAAAAAAAAGCTGCTGTATTGAAGGTTCACAGAAGCATGTAGCCTCCATAATCCTTAATAGAAGAAGTTTGGACTCTTCCTACAGCTGGCCTCCTGGCCAAACTGTGCAATCGATGGAGAAGGGCCTTGGTTAGAGTGGTGACCAAGAAGCTGATGGTCACTCTAGTTGAGCTCCAAGATCATATACTGTATATAGAGATGGGAGAAACTTGTAGAAGGACAAACATCACTGCAACACTCCACTTTATGGCTCAAGCGGCAAGCCTCTCCTCAGTGAAGACACATGAAAACTCACTTGGAATTAGCTAAAAAGCACCTAAAGGACTCTCTCAGACTCAGAACAATAATTATCTGCAGGGGCCTCATTTATAAAACTTTGCGTAGGATTTGCGTCAGAAGTGGCGTACGGATGAAACATAGGACGTGCGTACGCACAGAAATATTCGGATTTATAAAACCGTGCGCACGCACATCCTACGCATTTTTCCCTTAATAAATCACAATCAATTCTAAATGTAGCGCAGCTTTTGCGGCTTCATGTCACGCCCATAGTTGCCCATAAATAGTCCGTGAAACACCCATAAGTTAATATTCATCGATTGCGAAATCATGGCAAACATAGAGAGGAAATAAAAAAAACGTAACTTCACTCAATGTGAAGTAGAAGTTATCGTTGGCGAGGTGGAAAAGAGGAGAAAAATTTTGTTTGGAGGGCACAGTGTGGGCATTATTAATGCCAAAAAGGCACTTGAGTGGCAAAAGGTTGCAGACGCCGTAAATGCTGTAGCCTCACAACCTCGGACTGTGGCCGAAATAAAAAAGAAATTAAAAGCTACAGATGTCGGTTATAATCTACTTGGAAATGGAAAATAGTTCAGCACAAATGTAATTTCTTGCAGCTTTCTGAATGATTGAGACATATACATCATACGTTATTTTATCAAAAATAAAACAAACTAAAGGCATATGCATGAATACCATGATTCCGTAGCTGATGAAGACATTTTTACTATGAAAACAACTTTCCCCAGTGGACAAATATAATATCTATCTCCCTAATTATCTATCTATCTATCTGACTATCTCTAATTGCATCTATATCTGCTCCGCCTTACGGACACATTGGCGAGAATATCAGTTTTGTACATTATTTCGTTCTGTTTACCATCTTATTTATGAGGATGAATTGTATAACATGCCAATATTATTGCAGAACATATTTCACTTTTCTTTTTGCAAATATGTGTTAATTTGCATTTCTGTTGCAGATCGATCAAACGGGTGTTCGTGTAGACTGTTAATTGTAAGACTTGCTTTGTGAAGTCTTCGTGTTATTTATGAGAGGCAGTATTGCCATTTATTTTACACAATGTTAGTTGTGTTTAGTTTCACACAGTTTCACGTGTTTCTTCCATCTGCCGACGGTGTCGCCATTTCTCATTTCACCCGTTTTTGTGCGTACGCCTGGGTCAGAGCTTGCGTGAAGGACCGCACATTTTACCGTCAAGTTTGCTTTTTATAAATACCAATTATTGCGTAGAGAGCGGCGTACGCCTTCTTTTGTGCGTACGCAACGTTTATAAATGAGGCCCCTGGTCTGATGTTCCAAAGCATCATGTCTGGAGGAAACCAGGCACTGCTCATCATCACCTGCACAATACCTTCCCAACAGTAAAGTGTGGTGGTAGCAGCATTATTTTTCAGTGGCAGGGAATCGCAGATGAAAAAGAAAGCTAAAGACAGCAAAATATAAAGATAGCCTTAATAAAAACCTAGTCAGCATTCAGAACCTCGGACTGGACAGAAGGTTCACCTTCCGACAGGACAATGACCCTACGCACACAGCTAAAACAATGCAAGAGTGGCTTATAGACAACTCTGTGAATGTCTTTGAGTGGCCCAGAGCCTGGGCTTGAACCCAATCTAAAATCTCTGGAGAAACCTGAAAATGTCTGTCCATCGACAGTCCCTATCCAACATGACAGAGCTTGAGAAGATCCAAGGAGAAGAATGGCAGAAAATCACCAAATGCAGATATGCAAAGCTTGTCACATCATACCCAAAAAAGACTTGAGGCTGTAAAGGTGATTTAACTAAGTACTGAGGTAAGGGTTTGAATACTTATGCACTGTACTTATTTCAGTTTTTCCTTTTTAATAAATTTGCCAAGTTGTCACAGATCTGCTTTTTGCTTTGTCATTATGGTGTATGGCATGTAGATTTATGTGAAAAAAAAGTAATTTAAAGTATTTTAACATAAGGCAGCAACATAACAAAATGTGTAAAAGTAATTGGTATGAATATTTTCGCAAGGCACCGTATATATATATATATACAAAGAAAATCTCTTTATCAAGTTATTTTATCTCGATGTTGCTAGCGCCATGCTTCACAATTGTCACACATTAAATATCTTTTTGTACCTGGCTGGCTTGCTCAGTGAAGGATTCAGTCATCTTAACTGTAACATTGGCATTGGCTTCTTCATTGGCATTGAGATCTATAGAGGCAACCCACTGTAAATGACAAAACACAAGAGCTGAAATTACATTATTGACATATGACAGGCAACAAGAAAAGCACATTATAGGTATATTTTTTAATTAGAAATGCATGACACTGGTAGCTGTGACAAATTAAATAATAATTAACACCATTTATCACTTAAACACTTAGCATGTCTGATGGCACAGTGAAAAAGCAATTAATTTTCAATTACGTGAGCTGTCTTTTGGGTTGAGGCAACTTACCCAGTTTTTAGCTCTGAAGTATTGCACACATGCAGAGCCCAGAGCTCCTTTTCCTCCGTAAACAATCACTTTATGGGCTTCAGTAGCAGCCATGCTGTTTCTTTCTTCAGAAGCACAGAAAAGGCCGTTTTATGCAAACAATGAAAAATCACACGCGCCCCCTACTGGAAAAGATGAGAGGAGCAACCAGAATTGTACTAGAGTTGGTTGTTCAATCACTTTAAGATGTTTGTATGAATTTATCATCCATTTTTAAACTATTATTTTTTTCCCAATTGAATGCTTGAAAATATTTTACTAAGACTAATATATGTCAAATTCGAACAGCGCAACAAATGTAATATTCCGTTTGACCAGCAGGTGGCAGACGAAGTCTTTGCGAACAACAATTAAAAACAAAGAAGAAGAACGTAGCCTTTTTCCGCAGGAAATTCATGTACGTTAGTCGTGTAGCGTCGCTAGCATTCTTTGACAAGCTTCTCGTTTAGCTTTAATCACTACGTTGACAGCATATGGTCGCTTCAAATAATAATTAATCTTTATCTGAACTGTTTCTCTCTTTGAGAGAAGGCAGTGAAACATTCAGGTAATTCTCCGAGTTACTTCTTCATTAATTTGTGGATGATTTGCTGCATGTTTTATGTGATGTAACTTAAGGTGTTTCTGGTAAATTTATTAGTTGTGGTATTATGGCATTTTGTTGTTATATTAAATATCTCATTAAAATATAAAAGTTTAAACGTGTTAGATATTTACTGTCCCAGTGGCTGTAAATTAGTCATTTATCTCAGTATGTTAGATATTGCTAAACTTCCATCTGGCCTCAAATATTTCTAACGTTACCAGATTAATGTACATTAGATTAATACACAAAAAATTATTTAATCTTCTCATCTAGAGATCAAGAGATGAGAGACAATCTAATGTACATTAATCTGGTAGCACTAACGTTGGAAATATTTGAGAACTAGTAAACAACACATTTCTTGGCAAACCAAAGTATTTGTTTGTTTTTAAATGAATTTGACCAGATGCTTCATGAAAAGCAGCCAACGTATTTACAGCACACATGCGAAGTTTGCGAACTGGCTGATTATGATTATTCTTGCGTTCTCATTCTTAAGTGTAAATAATAAAAAGGAATAAGAGCGTCCAAACGTTTGACTGGTAGCGTATAACCACTACATCTACTGAGAAGATATATGTTCAGTTTATAGTTTAATAATGCACTGATTTATAGTTGTATTTTGTATTGTTTTCAGTTGTTGGTTTAATAGTGCACTGATTCATAGTTTTGACTTACACCATACCAGTCAAACAAGCCAAACCTGCTATAGAATTTGTGTAGTTACGGTATATTTTTTTTATTATTAGATTTCCAGCCTCATTTATAATGTCATTGGTTAAAATGATTTATAACCACAAAGTCAGTCGAATAATTAACTGTATTGTATGTGTTGTGATTTGTGTAGGATGGATCCAGCTCTGCTGAAAGAGCGAGAGCTCTTTAAAAAGAGAGCTCTATCTAATCCTGCAGTTGAGAAGAGACAAGCAACCTCTGAGGCCTCCGGATCCTCCAAGAAGAAAAAGAGCAGACCAGACAAAGATACATCATCCTCCAAAAACAACACAGGTCAGAAAGTACATGTGTGTTGTTTATGTAATCTTTGAAATTGACTCACTCCTCACTAAGTCGCAATACAGCCAGAGAGTTATGTCATTAACTTGCTATCGTTCAAAAGTTTGGGGGAAAAAAACATTATCATGGTTTCCACAAAAATATAAAACAACTGTTTTCAACTTTTATAAAGGTCATGTGACTGGGATGGCTGCTGAAAAATATATTAAAATAGAATAGAGTTATTTTAAATTGTAATAATATTTTGTAATATTACTTTTTTACTGTAGTTTTGAACTTTGGTTTAAAGCCTTGGTGAGCATAAGAGACTTCTTTCAAAAACATTAACAACCCCAAGCTTTTGAACAGTAGTGTATGTTGACCAGACCTCTTTTATCAAATTAAGATATTAATTGTATTGACATTTTATCTGTATTCAAATGGCCTTGGCAAATCTACAGTATTATAAACTTGTGTTTGGGGAAATGCTCAAAACCAACATTAGCCTGATTCATTTCAATCTGAATTTCTTTAATATTTTTCTAGAATTAAAATATCTGCATCAGCTCGCAGTGGCAAAGAAACCGCAACCTTCTCTTGCTGTTTAGTTTAATACCAGTGACAATAGTTCGAATAGCACTGAGGATTCTTCATTTTATGTCAATGAGCCTGACATCTAAAAGCAATTTTTGAGTTATAAAACCTTCATCACGGGCCTCTCGGCTGGTGTCTGGTCAACCTTGGTTTGGGCGAGTTACCCAAGTTGGTAGTTAATTATGCATGTACATTTTGATTGAATTTTTTGTTTTGTTTAAGTGTTCTTGCAATCTGAATATTTTGCAATGTTTGTTCTGGGCCTTGCATTCAGAGTTAGAAGTTATTTTACAAGTTGAGTAATTATCCAAACAATATATTTAATAATTAATTATATTTGAGAATATAGCCTAGTTTCTTTAGAGACCTACCAAAAGGTTGCATTTTTCAGTACACCTGGTATTAAAGAACCAATAAATAATATACTACGTTGAAAATTGTGAATATCAGTAAAAAAACAAACAATCAAATCATCTCTAGCTCTCTTGATGACTTGTTCTAGACATTTATTGAAGTCATTTAAATGTTCTTTTAGCAGCAGCTGATGATATCTTCTGTGACCCTAATGTGAACCACACCTTTTTTGTGCTTATATGATTTTTATTATATAATTTTAAATACACAATTTTAAGGCGTTTGCAAAGATGCAATAATTGGCCTTTAGTGTGCTTTTTGATGTAGAACTATTATTATACATAACAATTATTCACATATTAAATGTCACCTTACAGGGAATTTAAACATACACATAGATTATTCCCTTTACTCCAACTGTAGTGAATGTTTGCTCTAGTCAATTAATACTGTATTTAGCTTATGAATTCCACAATGCTGACATGTACATTTTGTAATCCCGCACCAAGGGAAAGATTCATGTAAACGCATCTCAGAATATTCAACCGTTTTAAATAGTCAACTCATTAAACAATAGTACTGGAATACTGACTGTATGCAAAGGAAACAATGACGTGCACACACAAGCAAATTTTTCCTTTCTTTCTGGTGTAAATCTCATTTAATATTTTAAGCCATCGAGATGCCTGTGCTGTGTATTGCTGTTGGAGCAATTGGGAGTAGAGTGCTTCTGTCTCTGTACATGTTTGGCGTGTTTTTAAAGGACTCCATTCTGGCGAAGAGCTCTGTCCGAATTCGCAGCCTTTTCCACCAATCTACTGTTGTGGTTCCTTTGGAGACCGTGTCCGCTGTCACCATGGTTACAACTAAACCACCTCTTCGTGCTGGCGGCGCAGGTCACGAACGGTTTTGGTCTTGGTGAAGCATCCGCAGTCCAGCAGCTCGTAGAGGAACGCCAGTGTGGCGAGGGAGAGGATGGTGAGAATGAAGAGGAGGAGAATGATGAAGCAGGCAACATTCCAGCCATCGTGGAAGGGATAGATCTGCTGGATCAGAGCAGAACTGCTGGACATGTTCATACTGCAGAGAGACCTAGAAATACAGTCAGTTATTAAAGAGAAAGATGAGGAAGGGTAGAATAATTAGTCTGGGTACTACGAACAGTGATCAAAATCAGCTAGAGGCAGTGTGATTGACAGATTTAAATGGGAGTTTCTACATGCACATTTATATGTACTGTATTTTTCGGTGTTGATGAGAAAAGGACATATATTAGAGCATCATCAAAGGCACAGTGTTTTTTTTCATACTGTACTTTAGCACTTCATACTGTACGTCGCTTTGCATCTCATTGTTTTGGAGTATCTTGCAGCATGTGTAGGGTTTTCACTACACCTGCATGTGAGATTTAGCTTACTACTCCAAAGAAACGCATCTTATTGGGATTAGGTTAATCCAAAATGATAATTGTTATTCAGGAATTACTTTAGATTGATTAGTTGTTTGGTTGTTTATCAATTCGTCGCCTTGGAAAAACATGTAGATTTGCACAAACAGTAGAAAGACGGCTTGTTCATGCTAAAATATTGAATTATTATTATTTTAGTTCAGTATTAGTTACTCTTACGCTCACTAAGGCTGCATTTATTTGATAAACAATACAGTAAAATCAAGAAATATTACAATTAATAATAGCTGTTGTTTTAATATAGTTAAAAAAATTATGGCTAAGCTAAATTTTCAGCATCATTACTCCAGTCTTCAGTGTCACATGATCCTTCAGAAATCATTTTAATATGCTGATTTGTTGCTCAAGTAAAATGTATTATAATAATCACTGGTGAACACTGTTGTGCTGTTTAATGTTTTTGTGTGAACCATATTGCATTTTTTTAGGGTTCTTTTATGAATAGAAAGTTCAAAAGAGCAGCATTTAGTTGTAATAAATATTTTTTTGTAACAGTGTAATAGTCTTTTGTTAATTATGATAAATTTAATGCACTCTTGCTGAATAAAAGTAATTAAGTAATTACTGGTGGTTTTAATTAAAAATAATCTCTTAAAAATCGTACTGACTCAACTTTTGAACGGTAATTTATAGGGCTGCACGATGTTGGAAATAACTGACATTGTGATATATATTGCTATATATATTGTGATATGAAAAAAAAATCACTAGATGACTTTAATAGCTCTCTATTTGGAAAGAATTGTATATGCATAATTGCATATATAAATACAATAGAACAAAGAACAGTGCTTTTCAGGTACAGAAATAGAAAAATCAGATGTAAAATACTGTATTGTCTTCACTGTATAAATTTAATATAAAATAATCTTTGTTACAGCTACAAAAGTGGTTTTCTCTTTGTGTCTGTCATTAATATTAATCAAACAAAACACAAAGCAGTAGGAATATTAGGCTTCTGTCTCTATGAATGCACCAATCCAATATAATGATATGCATCCGTTTTCTTTTTCAATTGTTTACGTTCACGTAAGCTATAAGCGACTGTTTAAGAAGATACTAGCCAAGATGGGCATTTTGCGTAATTTAAAGTATTTTAATTTTGTTCACGTGCTGTCTGCGCACAGAAAAAAGTGTACGAGTTCCAAATTGAGTTATCTTTCTCACATTTTTGCACATTTTTGCATTTTGGATTTTCATGCTTTGAAAATCCATTTGGAAGTATAGTATACCATCCAGGCAGCTTTAGCACACCATTTTCAATGTACTTTGGTTTGGGATCTACTAATCCTAATCTTACATTATCATGCAAAATGGGATGGAGCCATACTGGAGACATGAATTGAGATGAATCAGCTGACCTAGTTTGGTTGAGTGGTCATTGTGTTGTGTAGGTTTAGAGCAGAGTGGAAGCTGAAAAATTATACATTCCATAACTCTTTTGGATTTCAATTACATTTCACAGATAATTTGATGTACGTATATGGTGTTAAAAGTTCAATCTTATGATTTTTCAAAGGTTTTCTGTATTGCATATATCACCAAAGCAAGATCTTTACAATATGGAATATACCGATAATTATGTAATTGGTTTAACCGTAACGTGAGCCATGGGAAAGCATTTCTCACGCGTGTCTGATTGTGCATATGCGCTGCAGAAATACAGCTTCACTTTCAATTCAACCATGACTCAGAAGAATCCCATATCTCCAAAAGAGATGTAAACTTCTTTTCACGTACATTTGTTATCAATGTTTTACAGGATTTATGTTATTCTTACAAAGCTTCATTTCGGAGACCTCAGACCTGGTCCTTTGGCCTCAGTTTAACACTGGTAGACACACACACACACACACACACACACACGCGCATGTCTGGTCCACTATCTTTGTGGGGACTCTCCATAGACGTAATGGTTTTTATACTGTACAAACTGTATATTCTGTCCCCTTACACACACACACACACACACACACACACACACACCTAGTCTTGTCTGATACAGACAGATGGCTTCTGCTTGTCCTGGCCTCCAGAGACCCCCACCCCAAGCATCCCTTAGTACTGCGCTACCGTTTCTTTCTAGCTCTTTTCCAGTGTTTGTCCTGTTTTTAGAATTGTAGGTGCTAATGGATGAGTTTTTCTTGTTAAATATTCAATACGCTATCAGTTTGATGCTGTCTAGTGTAATGATTTAGAATTGCCCAGTCAGCTTCAACTGTCTGGATCCTGCTATCTCTGTGCTTGTATGTATATTTATAGGTACACTCATGACCAAGATCCGATGTTTGAATTTCATTTTATGTGTTTGTGACACAATATGCATTTATTATTGATTTGCAATTTAGTTAGTATGGCTGCATGCCTTGGTAATGCATATTCTCAATATGAAGAAGAGTCCATTACTAAAGGAATCCTTTGAAATTTGTAGAAAACTAAGATGATGTTTTAGTCTGTGTAGTATTTTAGAATTAGATGCATTGTGTTTTTTGATAAAAAAGCAGGACGTACCTGGGTGTTAGTGTCTGGGATGCAGGGTGATGGAGCAGCCTCTTGCTTCTCTCTGTGTTGTCTTTCTTGCCGTTCGCGCTCTCTCTCTCTTTCTCCCTGCCCTACCTTAATCTGTAACCGTATATTGCAATGGCTGTTTTGAGTCTCTGCTTTGACGCCATTGGCTGGTTGTCCTGTCTTTCTAAGCATCAGCCATCCAACCTACTGTAATGCATCTGCTCTCAGCATTAGGTCCCGCCCACACGATGAATCATTCATGAGTCAATGCCAAGATGCGGCTGAGACTGGCTGTGCTCCCGTTGCCAGGGGTTGAGAGCAGGGTGTGGAGGAGGAAGAGGATGTGATGCTAGAGCTACATGCTACAGAGGAAATAAATGATTCCTTTTACCAGTTACAAGGACCTTGAGATAGTGAAAATTAGTTTGGAAATAGGATGAGCAATGACAAAAAAATCAAAGAAAATATGAGAAATAGGACGTCATTGTTCCGTTTTGCCCCAGTTATGCATTAGATTCAGGGTACAGGTTTTTTTTTTTTTAAACCATTCTGTAAATGCATACCTGTACATGATGGATTCGAACAAAACAGACTTTTTTTTTCAGCATTTTTTTTCTCAGCCTCTTTTAAATAAACCAAAAGATTCCCATCTGAATAAACACATTAAAGTCATAAAACGGAAGTTGCAATAGTTTTTTCTTCCTTATTGTGACGTTTATCTGAGTGAAACTTGATTTGTCAAATTTCACTGGCCTATTTACACAGGGGATTAAATGCTTTGTGAAATACTGGTCCTTTTTAACATATAAACTTTTGGTTAATATGGTAAGGTAAAAATGTATTAAATAAATGTATAACCACGTAACCATCAAATCAAAAACAGTTCCTCTGTATGCTGCCAAAACAGTGCTGGCCCACCAAGTAATGCACTACAAGACACCTGAACGTGTCCTGTGGTATCTGGTAATGTTCCTCAAACCATTACTGAATAATGTGTGCAGTGTAGCAGGGTGTATTATCTTGCTGAAAGTGGCCACTTTCACCAGGGAACACCATTGGTCTGCAACAATTTTTAGGTAGTTGGCACATGTCAAATTTTTGTCCACATGAATGGCCTTTCGATGGTGGACAGGGGTCATCATATGCACTTTTGTCTGCAGATACACAGCCCCATGTCTTGTGACACATTCCTGCCATAACCATCATTAAATTTTAAATTGTGTGACTTGTGCCACAGTAGACCTTCTGCCCTTGTGCATCGATGAGCCTTGAGTGCCCAACACCCTGTCACCGGTTTGTTGGGGTGTGCGATATATATCGTCCGCGATAATATCGTAATTGTTTTAACGATGTGCGATTTGACATTATCGAGTATAGCCTATTAGAGTTCTCAACGGGTCGGGTCGGCCCGACAAACCCGACGGGACCCGCGGGTTCGGGCCGGGTTTGGGTCGAAAATATTTGCAAATGGGTCGGGTCGGACCTCGGGCTTAATCTTTTGAATTGTACAGTGAAAGAAAAATAAACATTTATTATTCATCGCTGCTGTTCACTGTAAAGAAAGTCTGGCTGCTGCGTGCAACGTGCATCGCGACGCGAGGGCAGACCTGACGCCGCTGCGTGCACGCCTTTAGCTCGGAGAAGAAGATGGAGTTGGTGAAAAGTAAACTTGCTGCAGGTGAAATCACCGTTGCTCAGGGGCGGCGCGACACGTTGTGTGATTATCTCGGCAGTTTAGGACATCGCACAAGATTTGTGTCAATACAGAAAACATTTAATCACTGGATAGTTTTTTTCGTTTATTGAAATGTGGTTTATGTCAGCTGGATGGGCGGAATGTGTGAGACGTGAGAGTGCGCGCGCGCGGCCGGGGCTCTCTCTCTCTGCGTCAAGCGCAGCAGTCATTCTACATACATCACTCACCGATCAAAAGGGTGGCGTCGGGCCGCGGGTCGGGTTCGGGCAGATAATTCATGTTGATGTGTCGGGTTACATCGGGTCCGGGCTTTAAAAGCCACGGGTCGGGTCGGGTTGTAATTTTCAGGCCCGTTGAGAACTCTATAGCCTATCCCTCACACACACACTGAGAGTGCATGCATAATGTAGTCTTGTGGATTAGACAGTGCGGGTGTGCATTTAGAGTGCACTCTTTCACTGTGTGATTTAGTCTTTATTTATATCATTTAGTAATAAATATCATAAGAGTGCAATTTTTCTCCAAATATCAGCATGATAACAAATGTGATATTGCTTTTATACAAGTTTAATAAACAAGAAGTTAATATTTAATCACTTTTATTTTAGACACCATATTGCCTATTTTTGCTCTATTTCGCCAACGAAAATAGTTCAAAACAAAGCCACACACGGTGGTGTTTCCTTACTGAGTGAATCAGCATTTTGAACGAATCAGTTGACTTGGATAGATTAAGGGTGTACTCACACTAGCCAGTTTGAACCGTGCCCGAGTGCGTTTGACCACCAAAGCGCGGTTCGTTTGACTAGTGTGAGTGCTCCGAACCGTGCCCGGGCGCGGCTCGATTAGCCGGCCCTGGCCCGCTTGGAAGAGGTGGGCCAGAGCACGGTTCAGTTGGACTCGGGCGCGGTTCGCATGCAGTGTGAGCGCTAACCGTGCTGGAGCACGGAAAAGGACGCGTGGCGTCATGGTTTTGCGACGCTCCAAAACCAACACAGTCCGTAATCAAAGCTGCAAAGTCCTTGCTGCACTTCAGCTGGTACCTTGCAAACCTCCTCATACGAGCAGCACGATTACGTGAAAATTTTCGCGCCACTAAGGCGACGCATCTGTTTAACAACAGGCTGTGGACCACCGTGGACCAAACGACACAAAATTATCCACAAAGAAAACAGAGCGATGGACTTCATTGTGTTCAGAGAGCGCCGCTCTTCTTGTTTAACCCGAAACCGTCGCACGCACCATAATGACGTAAGCGTGCTCCGGCACGAATGCTGAAACCCTATGTGAGTGCAGGCCAGAGGGGGAGTGGGGAGGGGGGACAATCGTACTCGGGCCCGGTTCATGGCAACCGTGCCTAGTGTGAGTACACCCTAAGAGTCAAATGCTTCTTTCCTTGAATGAATCAGCCATTTGAATGAATCGGTTGAATCTCAATGATTCACTCATTAACAGTGACTTGCTGCAACCAATTTCAATTTCACATTTAAAGTATCTTTTTATCAAAGATGATTTTTGTTGATACTGATTACATTTGATCGGTAACAGCCCTATTGTGTCTTATTTATATAATTGAATTTGATTACATTTATGAAATTGTCATAAATGATGCATGCATATACTTAGGTTTAAAAAAAAATTCTTCATAAAGGCCAAAATGCCCATATTAGGTAAAAATCAATTGAAACATATTGGAAAAAATAATTTCTATACTATAGGAGTCGGCTTTCCACAACAGTCCTAAACCTGCCGGAGTACCAACACAATAAACACACTCGGCAAAATATCGTCTTATAATCGTTATCAAGAAAATCCCAGAAAATATCGAGATGTAATTTTTTGTCAATAACGCACACACCTACCGGTTTGTGGTATCCTCCTCTGACCACTGTTGGTAAATTCTCACCACTGCTGACCGGGAGCAACCAACAAACCTTGCCATTTTAGAGATACTCTGACCCAGTCGCCTTGCCATAACAATTTGGCCCTTGTCAAAGTCGCTTAAATCTTTATTCCTGCCCATTTCTCCTGCATCCAACACGTTGATTACAAGAATTGATTGTTTGCTTACGATCTAACTTACCCAGACATTATATGTGGCCTTATTAGGAGATGATCAACGATCTTTGCTTCACCTGTGACTGGTCATAATGTTTTGGATCATCACTGTGTGTATGTGTATTTATTCAGCGAACTTGCTATTGAGAGCAAAAAAAAACATTTCTGTGGATTTGGCCATTCACTTATTCCATAATGAAACGTCTTCACTAGCATTTAGTGCACAGGAACACTGATCTCTACAAGGCGCAGCCAAATGCCTGTTTCACACTTGGCGCGTAAACCAGAGCGGACGCAGCGCAGAAGTTGTGTGCGTATGCAGAGCAGGAGCAGTATGCGACTATGCGCCCATTTTGCAGTGTTTGTCACATGCAGTTGAACTGCAGCGTATGTTCTACAAATACAGATGATTATCATCCATTCTTTCTCCTTTTGACAGTGTTTTCCTCCGACCACTGTCTGTCACATGCTTTGATTGGGCAGCATACTCTGCTGCTATGTGACCGTGTTCCTCTCCTACTGTTCCACACATAACATGCAGTATGTATGTAGTATACATGATAAAAGTAATCTTAAATTTAACCCCTTGTGCATCCTTATGGACATTTTTTGTCTTATTTCAGTTTTTTTTTTTTTATCACTTTGCCTGTGTTAATGCTAACTGCATAAAATTTGGCACAGGTGTGTATTTTTATTGGAATTGAACTGTTTCACCCCCATTTCCACTAGGTATACAAAATACTTCCTCTCAGCGCCTTTTGGTCAAAAATGTCGGCATTGAAACCCATTAAAACTGCCATTTTTAATCCCATTTAACTATAAAATGATGCAATCTTTGAGGCTTTCATTCTGTTGGCAAGACTTCAAAATTAAAAATTTTACTATTTTATTACCAGATGGTGCCATTTTTTTCAGTTTTCGCCTATAAAGCAAATACTCGCTTTATTCCTGTTTATTGCTTTGGCATATTATAGAGCCAATTGGATAAATTATGCAGCAATAATTGTGTGGGTGTGTTGGTATGGATGTCTGAGTTTGGTTAAAATGAGTTTGTGTAATAAAAAAAAATATATTGTGCGTGTGCTTGCTTGTAATATTTGAGAGAGAAAAACTCAACTGCAAATCTAAAATCAAAAACTAATCTAAAACCACTGTGTGCACCAGTGAAGTTTTTCTGGCATCTAATAGGGAAAATGTGACTGCGCCTAAACAAAATCTTACCGAAAGCTCATTTTTGAGGTATCATCCTCAAATTTGGAACACAACTTGTTTAAATTTATGGATTTGATTTTCTAGCTGTTTTAGAGTTCAACATGTTTCATAAAATATCAATTTGATATAAAATAATGTTCTTTTTTTTTTTTTTTTTTTTTTTTTTACTTCAGCAATAATCTGCCAAGGGTCTTCATTAGAC